TTAATCCTCAGTTAATTTTGGGTAAAAGTAATCACTGTTTAATTGGCTTTGTAAGAGAATAATGCTCTTAAATGGACGCTTCAGTGATATTTACAAGGGTGAGTGAATTCTATTTAAAAACAAAAATGCCATCTGTTTTCTGTAGCATGATGCAAAAATATGGATGAGTCCTTTGTGCTTTTTTGATTTTGAAGTATTTTGTAACAACTGCCAAAGTTGAGTAAACCAGAAATATTGAATAAACCCTAGAAACAGGAAATGAAGCAGTACAGAAGTAGTCCTGTGTGAGCAGCTCGATTGTCACATGAAGGAAAGGAGGTCCTGCTGTGGTGGAAAGCAGCTGGGCAAACTCAGCAGAGTTCACAACTACTGCAACCAATAAAAACATACACATTTTTTTAAATGTTTACTTTTATTTATTTTGAGAGAGAGTGAGCACGAGCAGGGAGGGGTAGAGAGAGACAGTCCTAAGCAGGCTCTGTGCCATATCAGTGCAGAGCCCGACAAGAGGCTCAGTATCACAAACTGAGATCATCACCTGAGCCGAAATCAAGAGTCATGCGCTTAACCGACTGAGCCAGCTAGGTGCCTCCACCTTTCTTTTTTAAGAACGTAATCCCTAAACTCTGTGATTGTGATTCTCTTTGACTGTTTTTCAAAATTCAAAATACCTCCAAAGGTGAATTCACTCAAACACAAGCTGATCCTCCCCTTTTATCTTTTGGGCGTTTATTCATTTTCAGGAGTATGTGAGTGTGGGGCACAAAGAGAAGGGGAGACAAAGAATTGGAAGCAGGATCCAGGCCTCTGAGGTATCAACAGATTCCCGACGTGGGCTCAAACCATAGACTAGCAAGATCATGACCTGAGGTGAAGTTGAGGCTTAACGGACTCCACCAGGTGCCCCTGATCCTTAATCCCACCTTCCAAGAATAATCAGAATATCTTACAAACAAAACAAAACTACATACATATTTTATAATTTTTTTTTTAATTTTTTTTTTTTCATCGTTTATTTATTTTTGGGACAGAGAGAGACAGAGTACGAACGGGGAGGGGCAGAGAGAGAGACACAGAATCGGAACAGGTGTTCCGCTCTGGTTAACAGCCCAGAGCCTCGACGCGGGGCCTGAACTCACGGACCGCGAGATCGTGACCTGGTTGAAGTCGGACGCTTAACCGACTGCGCCACCCAGGCGCCCCATATTTTATAATTTTTAAAAAGTAATTTATCAAAAGTCATTAAATTGTGCACTTTAAGTGGCTGAATTGTATCATATGTTAATCCTATCTCAGTAAAGCTGTTTTTTCTTTAAAAAAAGAACTCTGTAGCAGAAACCAGATCTTTTCCTGTACTTTATGCCACCAAGAAGCGCCTTTTGGAAGCTAAGTTTGCTTGGTGTGCACTACTCCATAGCTTTTACTCATGCTTCTCGGAGGTTTCCAGTTTCACATGCTCCATGAGCCAGCGAGAACCAACATCTCAGCTATCTGCCTGCTACTAGACTGAGGATATGGTGGGTGATGAGGTACATGAGACAGATAACATGTGACCCTCACATTGGTAACTATTTGATTGAAAAAAGATCAAACAGAGCATAAGGACCAGTCAGTTATATGTGCCAGCGTAAGTGGAGGTATTTGTGTGGTATGAAGAATGAGAGAGATTTCACCCAAAGGAAAGTTCTGGGAAAGTGATCCAAGAAGGCCTTCATGGAGGAGGGAGAAACTGAGCTGGACACTAAAGGGTGGGTCGTATTGAAGAGAGGAAGGAAACATTCCAGTTAGAAGGAGCATAGGTAGTAGTTGGATCAGTGTGTGACATGTGTGCTCCATAAATTACTTTGAATTATCCCATGATGTGAGGAACTGGACCTGAGTTACATGGCGGTCATCTTACCAGAGGTACTGAGTAACAGTAATTTGGATACTTAGAACAGGCCTGGATTTTACAGACCCTGAAAATCAGGAGTGAAAAATCAAAACCCATTACAAGTTTGAGAAGGTCACCTTATAAAATATTACAGGAGTGTTAATCTGGAAGTGATGTGAAGGTTGGATTAGGTGTGGACTAGCTAAGCAGTGGTGGTAGTGATCTACATCTTGGTTAGCCATGAGCAAGATGGTGCCTGAAAGACTGATGTGAAATCACTTTATACAAGAGAGTTCAAAGGGTTCTAGGGATGGAGAGATGATTTATGACCATCCCAGGATTTAAGATACCCAGTTCAGGGAAATGCTCTGCTATTAACCAGAAATTGGCAGGTTATCTCGGTTTAAGAGGGAAAAGATTAAATTTTGAGACGAGGACAGTGGCATTGCAAAATCTGGATTTGAATCCCAGAACTTCACTTGAGCACTTTGAGGCAAGCATGGCATTTGATCTTTCTTAGCTTTTGTTGACTAAAACATGCTGATATCTCATGAGCATTAAATGGAATAATACTGGAGAACACTTTGAAGTATTGCTTTGAAGCTGCTTGTTGCTTCAGCTGATGAAATATACATGTTTAAGATATTTAACTGGAGCATAAGTGAGAGAGAATGCAGGATATAGTTGTATTAATTTTCCTGGGACTGCCATAGCAAATTACCACACATTACCACTGGGTGGCTTAAAACAACGGAAATGGAATCTGTCACAGCTCTGGAAGTCAGAAGTCCAAAAGTAACCTTTCGGCAGCATTGCTTGCATTGTGGGGGCTCAGGGCAAGAACACTGTCCCACACCTATCTCCTCGCTCTTGGTGGTTACCAGCAATCCTTGGTGTTCCTTGGCTTTCGTAGACCCATTGCTCCAGTCCACTTGAATCTTCACATGGCATTCTCCCCTGTGGCTTCGTGTCATCACATGGCCTTCTTACAGGGACACACCAGTCTTGATGAATTAGGGCCCACCATAATCTACTGTCACCTCATCTTAACTAATTACATCTGCAAGGATCCTATTTCCAAATGAGGTCACATTCTGAGCTATTGGGTGGACAAGAATTTGGGGTGGGGGGAGGACACTTCAACCCAGTTCAGAAGTATTTCTGAATCTAACCATTGTGTAATTTCTCTTTCAAGACCACGGGAATTCAGTTGCCTTCATCAGTATTTGCATCAGAGTTTGAGGAAGATGTTGGATTGTTGAATAAAGCCGCTCCTGTTTCAGGTGTGCTTGATTTCTTGAACTTCTCAAGTGATTTGATCTGTGTTTTACAAACAAAGCATAGTAATGATAGTTTTTCTGTCTCTGATAAAGTGATGAAACAATTTGAGATGTGTGTAAATTCAGATTAGCGGTCATTAGGAAAGGATGAGTGAACAGGATACTTTTCTTTCATTGCCATCAAATTCTTAGTCTTTGAAGTTCCTTTTTGGAGAGGAAAGTAAGAAAACTGTTTTTGGAGATCCAGTAGGGGAATTTTAACCTGGACCTAGCCTCTTGCAGTGGAAACGATGACATTCGGTTAGCCTTAACATGTATATAGACTTGGGGGCGCTTGGGTGGCTTAGTTGGGTGAGCATTCGACTCTTGATTTCGACTAAGGTCATGATCCCAGGGTTGTGGGATTGAGCATGGAACCTGCCTGAGATTCATTCTCCCTCCCTCTCCCCCCTGCTCATGCACTCTCCCTCTCTCTCAAAAACAACAAAACAACCCCCCCAAACATACTTATGATAGACTAAATCTGCTTTCACAATTTCTCCCAAGAGTGTATTTTGTGGAAGTCCATTTTACCATCTGTTGCAGATACACTGAAAAGTTTTATTTATTTTTACTATCAACATTGTATTTTAGAACAAACAGAAGTGATGTTTGGTATTTTCTGTTGAATTATCTTAATTGAGTAATATTTGCCTTGTAGCATTCATTCGTTCATTCCACAGATTTTTGAGTTACCACTATATGATGGGCTCTGGGCTTAAACCAGAATAAAGCATAATATCTGACTTCAGGGAATTTATTATGAGTTGGGAAAGATGGATAATAAAGAAGAAATTACAGTTAATTGTGCAAGTGAATAAATGGTTTAGGTAATAGTGGGCAAGTTGTCCTGGAGAAAATGGTGTCTGTTATTTCTTAAGTAGAAGTTAGGCAGGTGGGTGAGGAGGGGGGTGGGAAGGAGAGGATATTCTAAACAGGAAGCTGCATGTGCAAAATTGAGAGAACATGAATACAGGAAACCATATTTTAGCATGCCTAGAATGAGGCAAGAATTAGTATGAAATGAGGCTGGAGAGTCCAGCAGGGCCCATGTTATGAGGGGGGGTTGGAATGGAAGCCATGTCAGTTCACAAGTTTGAACTTGAGGTTTTTCATAGACTATTTTTACACACAGAAGACCATAGCTGAAGAAACAGGATTTATTAAACTCTCCTAGGCTAGAAGTTTAACAGGCCACACATACTTAGAGTTACTTTTTTTTAAGCTTATTTATCTTGAGAGAGAGAGCAAGCACACACGCGCCAGGGAGGGACAGAGAGAGAGAGAGAGAGAAAATCCCAAGAAGGCTCCATACTGTCAACGCATAGCCCAATGTGGGACTCCAACCCACAAACTGTGAGATCACCACCTGAGCTGAAATCCAGTTAGACATTTAACCCACTAGCCACCCAGATGTCCCAATTTGAGTTACTTCTTACAGGTGAATTTAAAACCTGATTCTAACTGCAGGTGTATGCTGTGAATTTTATAAGTAGATGAAGTTTAATATAGTCTGTAATGCAAGAGGTTTTATGATTTGAGTACTGAAACCAGAGGTGTTGTTTCCCCATCTCCTCCCATTCAACCCTCTCTATGTCTGTTCCACACTAGACTGAAAGTTTTGTTAATTTTTTATTTTTAAAAAATGTTTTTCAATGTTCATTTATTTTTGAGAGACAGAGAGCATGAGTGGGGGAGGGGCAGAGAGAGAGGGAGACACAGAATCTGAAGCAGGCTTCAGGCTCTGAGCTGCCGGTGCAGCGCCTGACGCGGGGCTCTAACGCACGAACTGGGAGATCATGACCTGAGCTGAAGTTGGATGCTTAACCAACTGAGCCACCCAGGTGCCCCTGAGCTTAAAGTTTTTAATCATTTTTTTAATCCTCAATACATTGATAGGTAGAATGTGGCATAGAATAGGTACTCAGATTATGTTACAGAAAGGAATGCTGTTTTCTTGGGAATTAGTGCTCAGTTTTTGTTTTCCTTCTAGGACCTCGACTGGATTTTGATCCGGACATTGTTGCGGCTCTTGATGATGATTTTGACTTTGATAATCCAGACAATCTGCTTGAAGATGATTTTATTCTTCAGGCCAATAAGCCAACAGAGGAAGATGGAATGGATATACATTACGTGTTGTTTCTTTCAAATTGGTATATGTGCTGCCGAAGCGAGCACTGTTTCTTTCAAATTGGGAATGACCTGACTTGGTTCTTCTGTAGGGTGGTATCTATAGAATGTTAAAACTGCAAGAGACCTTTGAGAACATTTAATGTGAGGCTTTTGTATTTTAGAGCAGAAAATGTGAGACTTGAGGTCTTTACAAATTGACGATAGGTGGGGCTAAAGTCCAAGTTGCCTGATTGCTGGTTCATTACTTTTCCAGCCATACCAGACAGGTCAGGCAGCACAGCTGTTCCTGCCTTAAACAGGAATCCTCCCTGAAATACCCTCAAATTTTACTTGTGTAAAGTCATTTGGTTCTGTTGTTTCTCAAGTTGTTTTGACAGTTAATTTATGACTCTGACTTTAGGAAATCTGAGGCTGAAGATGACAGTGAGTGGGAAGATGTGGATGATGAGAAGGAAAGAGGTAGAGATGACGATAAATATGGCTCTGCGGACTCATCAGATGAGGCCATGTCTGTCCCTGGAAAACCTCCTGGGGCTGTAGAAAATCATTTGTTCTGGGAAGAGGAAACTAAAAGTCGCTTTACTGAGTATTCTATAACATCCTCAGTCATGAGAAGAAATGAACAGCTGACTCTTCATGATGAGAGATTTGAGAAGGTAAGGTTCCCAGATAACCTTTTGATACTGGTTCCTGGTAAATATGACATCGGAACTCAAAGCTAAAACTTTCAACATTAGAAATCGCCTGTCTTATTAAAACAGATCACAAAACCATCCTAGTTTTAATTCTGGAAAGAATGCATATAGATCTGAAACAGCTGATAGAACTTCCTGACTTTCCTTAGAGGTTTGATATTTTGATAATGAGAGTCTGACTCCAATCCCCAGATTATGCTGTTTTCCTCAAGCATTGGCCTGAGCATAAACAAAATTCCATTACTTTTCTGTTTTTTTGTGTATGTTTGTTCACTGATATAGCCCCAAGTCTAATGTGGTATCTGGCATATGGTAGGAATTCAGACTGTTCAGCAAATGATGAATGGGTGGATGGTTGGTTTCCTTTAGAGTGAATCTTAAAGGTTCTAACTTTGCTACCTTTTCACTAAGTACCAGTAGGTGAACTGTTACTACAAATAACCTCACTCTTCAGGATTCACATCATCCCATTTACTCTTAACAGAGTTTGAATAATACAGTAAACATCTAAACAAGAATGAAATTTGTAACTAAGCCCCCTTAAAGTCTGCATAATCACTGAATTTGAAAGCATCTGTAGAGCCTGAAGTAAAGATTTCTACCTAGCATTGTTCTCTAAGCTGGACAGAGTGATCATCTTTCACTTTCATTAAATGGCAGCCTATTTTCCATCTAAATGTAAGTCTTAAAGTACTGGGTAGAATGTCTTCCACATACCATTGTAATGGTGCTTGTGATCTCATGGTAGTGCTTAAGTAATTGTGTAGAAAGGAAATTAATGTAAAAACCAGGGTGCGTAGCTGATTGAGTTGGTGGAGCCTGCGACTCATGATCTCAGGGTTGCGAGTTCAGGTCCCACCTTGGGTGTAGAGATTACCTTTAAAAAAACTTAAAAAAAAAAAAGTAACATTTTAAATGCTGTAGTTTTAAAACATTTTTTTTCATGGTATCTTTTCTCTTTATATACAAGTTTTATGAGCAGTATGACGATGATGAAATTGGAGCTCTGGATAATGCTGAATTGGAAGGTTCCATTCAAGTAGACAGCAATCGCTTAGAGGAAGTCTTGAATGACTACTATAAAGAGAAGGCAGAGAAGTACGTGCCTCTTCCTTGTTCACTTACTTTTTTTTCCACTTTCATTTTTCTGCATGTTTTCTTATGGTCTTAATGGATTTCCATCCATCATTAAAATAGTGTTTATTGTCTCAAATGGAGGGTAGACTCAGCTCAAGACAAAATAGTATTTTCTAGCTCTTAGTTCCAAAAAGTTTTTAAAAACCATAGCAGAGATAAAAGATGAAAACCAAAGTATAATTGTTTTGCAAGGGTCAGATCCTTGAGAGAGATGGTCTTTAGATTTCTGAAAACATTATTTTCAAATTGAGGAAATCTATTGGATTCAATAAAGCTGAATTTCTCTAGAGAGTGAGTAGGTAAGGATTCTTTCTGTCTTTATTTCTAATTTTTATAGAAGGAAGGGTGATGATTAGATATTGGGTACCAGAGGACCAGAGTTCTAAGTCCATAGTTGAGAGGATACAAGAATGAAAGGAGCATCTTGGTTATGGGGAACACTGCCCATGTCAAAAGAACATTCTGAGAGCTTTACTTGATAGGATTATTTTATTGAGAGAAACAAAGTGTTAATGAACGAGGAGACTTCATACCTGAAGTTGGTATGGAGCTCGGAGGCATGACAAGCAGGGTGACTTTTCTTTTTTTCATTTCAAATAAAGTTTTTAGTTCAACATCTGAATCTAGAAAATCACCCAGTCAGAATCTATATTGAGAAAATGGTATGTTTCCTTCAGTGTTGACTCACATTTTGATATTGAGGTTCAGAAGCTGACTGTAACTTTGGGTGGGAACATACTGAGAACCACTTTCTTTATGGCTCTGACCTGAGAGTCAACAATTGAAGGGCTTGAGGGTTAGAGTGGGGAGGTGCAAGATCACATTCCACTTGGAGAATAAGGTGGTGCTTTTAGCCTCCTTGGCTGAAGAATTCTGACTTCTGATTATATATGCTCTTCTCATCTTTCTGAAATGCCAGGCATTCTGAGAAGTTGATTTTTATGGCTCATAGAAAAATAAGAATTTGTCTCTCCAGCCATATTAGTGTAACTTTATGGCCAAATATTTGGCAAATCAACATCCATATTGAGGTGATTTTTCTGCGAGAAACTAATGAAGTGTTTACGTCTGCTGGAAGGGTCTCCTTTTCCGTGATCACTATCACTTGCAGATCCTACAGTGGAACAAGGGCTACATATAATGAGTGAATTGTTTGATCACTTTGGAGAGACAGATTGGGTAGTAACTTTTCGAGGCTTTAAGAAGACCATGTTTTAGGAAAGCTGCCATCTTGTTTATTGTAACCTTGCAGAGATCTCTTTTCTCTCAGTGGAATGAACATTGGGGCTGGGGAGAGCTGGGATTTTTTTGAAATGCTATTGTTTCTGGGGTGCCTGGGTGGCTCAGTCGGTTGGACGTCCAACTTCGACTCAGGTCATGATCTCACAGTTTGTGTGTTGGAGCCCCGCGTAGAGCTCTCTGTTGACAGCTCAGAGCCTGGAGCCTGCTTCAGAGCCTATCTCCCCCTCTCTCTGCCCCTTCCCCGCTCTCACTCTGTCTTTCAAAATAAAGGTACACACACACACACAATTTTGAAATACTCTTGTTTCCATAGCTCGTCAAACATCCATACCAGTTTTAGTAACATACAGTATAGTAATGGGTGGTCTTTTGTTTTTCCCTCTTTTGCTGCCTTTTTCAAAAACTCAATCAAAAGTTGTGTAAAACTGAATGCTCTGGAACCCTTTGAGGATCAGGACCTGCTAATGAATGAACTGGATGGGTCTGAGGAGGAAGAGATTGTTACTGTAGTTCTTGAAGAAGCTAAAGAGAAGTGGGATTGTGAATCTATTTGTAGTAAGTATTTTGGTGTCCTTTTTACTGATAAAAGTATGGTAGTGATTTTAAAGTATTAAATACATCAGTATTTTGAAAAAGTATGTTTTCTGTGAAAATGATTTAGAAAAAGTAATATTCCTGTTACTAAGTTGCAAAAAATTTCAAAACATCTGTAATAAGAGAGACTGCCATTTTGGCCCCCATGCTATAACAGAGACTTCATTAAAGTATGAAAAGATCAAAGTTGGGAAGATAGTAGGAACTCAGTAATGTTTTCTGAATTGAAAGTGTTTGTATCGATACGTGTTTATTTGTTTTTTTTTAAAGGTACATACTCCAATTTATATAACCATCCGCAAATTATCAAGTATCAACCAAAGGTAAGTCTTGGTGTCCTGAGCTACTTGAAGTATGCAATGCAGAAAACAGTGGATGAATCATTTTTTCACGGTAGCTGTATCCTTTTGTGGCTGGAAACACTATTGGGAAGAGCAACACATGATATGTCATTAGTGAGCTGTGTGTGTGTGTGTGTGAGCTCTTTTTTAATAGGAATGGGAAATGACCTTAGTATGATTTTTGTTTTTATTTCAGCCCAAACAAGTCCAAATATCTTCTAAAACAGGAATACCTCTCAATGTCTTACCTAAGAAAGGACTCACAGCAAAGCAAGTTGAAAGAATGCAGATGATTAATGGCAGTGATCTGCCAAAGGTGTCAACCCAACCTCGATCTAAAAACGAAAGCAAAGAAGATAAAAGAACGAGAAAGCAAGCTATAAAAGAGGAACGCAAGGTGAAGTACTTTTCTCAAATGGAAGATTTACAAAGAGCTTATGGGGGCAGTGGTCATAGAGATTTTCTTTTGTAAAATTAGTCTGCGTTTGTTTGAAGATTTGAATAACACTAATGTATTCTTATACAGGAACGGAGAGTGGAGAAGAAAGCTAACAAATTAGCCTTCAAACTGGAGAAAAGAAGGCAGGAAAAGGAGTTGTTGAACTTGAAGAATAATGTTGAGGGTCTCAAGCTATGACAGTAGAACATTTAGGAAAAGGTGCCTTCCCCATTGGGGTTCTTTGTTATGTTCAGTAACGTACAAGGATCTTCAGAGAGACAAAACTATGTAATCTGCCATTTTTACTAGCAAGTATTTATACTACCAAGTTTTCTGTGCCATCTGTCTTGTAAATATTGTAACATTTAAAAAATATTATAAACGTAGAATATGCTCTGAAATAAATGATGTCACAAATGTGAAATGTTTGGATGAGTTGAAGGAAAACATCTTCATAATGTAAATGGAATTGGTGTATTCTTCATTTATTTGTATGATTGTCCCAGCTGTCTTTTGCAGATGTTCTCAAATATTTCTTTGAAACCTCTCCACTCCTTTTCAGGAGTTAAGTGGTTTAATTTGCTGTATGTAGAAAAGTGACCCCAATAAACCCCATTTTGAAATGCTAAGTGGTAAGAGTTTTCCTGAGAAGATTCCACTGGTAAGAAACTAAGTTTCCCCTGCTGTATGCAAAGGCCTATTTCAAAAGGATGATAAAACTGAATATTAAGGTTGTTGGGACTCAATTACTGGATGACTGACTTTTGGAATTTAGGAACAGTGAAGACAGGAAGCAGAAGAAGAAATAATCAAGAAAACTTCCTTGGCTTCAGTAAGTACCTGGCTCAAAATCAGAAATATTTACTTCAGTTAAAACTAGAAAGTTTGTCTTTCAAACATTATTTAATGCTTGGAATCGTTCATATTTGATTAAAAGACATAGTTGAAAACTTTCCTTGTTTTTTTGGTGAGGTTTTTTTTTTGTTTTTTTTTTTTTTTTTTTTTTTTTTTTCGGTTTTTTCCCCTGTAAAACCTCTTCAAGGCTCAAGCAATGACACCATCACAATTGTTAATTATTTGGTAAACTGTGACTTCCTTGCAACAGATGAGTTGTTAGTGACCCTTGTTCCTGTGTCCATGACTAATGTGTTATCTGGACTGTTCTGGGAAAAAAAAAAAAAAAATCCGTGGACACTGTTGGTCTGAGTTGGGAACAGAATGGCTGAGACAGAAGCATTTTTAGCCGGTGAGCTGCATTTGGTAACTAAATTATTAGAAAGGCTTTTCTATAATTCATTTGATTACAACGTTTCCAAACTTGGTGGGTGTTATTTTGTTCTGTTTGTTTTAAATTGTAAATCTGGGTACTCAAGGATTTTTAAGAGCTGTGAAAACCAGTAGCATTAGGTACTCAACCAGCACTGATACTCAGCAGAAGAGCTTGTCTTTTTTTTTTTTTTTTTTTTT